AATGCAATAGTCGAGCTGTTTCAGTTTATATACATATATCAAGGCTGCACAAACCTTTTCCCCAAAATGAAAATCTATTTGAGGGCTGCGGCCAAATACAATAATATGATTCATGAAATACAAATCCTTCTTAAGTACAGTACTTTTATATTAATGATCATGTCCTGCTGGAGTGTGACATGATTTGTTTGTATACAAACTAATACGGTATCAGAGATACTTCTCATTCATCCACAATTAAATTCACTCTATCTAGGAGGCACAATTTATATGGATAGTATTTATTTTTTACAATAACAAGCTGGAATGAAAACAAGCAAATATGAAATAAAAGTAACGACTTTCTCTTTCCTTTTTTTGAAATGTCAAGAGTAGAAAGTACAGATAACTGTGTGAAAATGTAAGGAGTAGAAAGTACAGATAATTGTGTGAAAATGTAAGGAGTAGAAGTAAAAGGTAGGCTGAAAAATAATTACTCAAGTAAAGTACAGATACACAAAAATTCTACTTAAGTACAGTAACAAAGTATTTGTACTTAGTTACTTCACAACTCTGGTTAACATGAACAGGTGTTCCTCGTTGCTGTCAGCATATGTTGGCAGGTATGAGGTAGAATTCTGGTATTTTGTTTCAAATTAGTCATATTGTTATTTATTTTAATTGGACAACCTGGTTTCTAAAGATAGAATATCGAAGACAAAAACTATTTATTTTGGTATGTAAATGTTTGCAAATTAGCAATGAGATTTAGAAAATTGCACAAGGGAGACCACCTAAAATCGTGTTTAGGGTGCCAAATTGACTAGGGCCAGTGCTGGGTACATCCACACTGGTGGTGTATCTTGTCGTGACAGACTTACCTATAAAACTGCATGAGCTAATGCTCTGCTCATGTTTGCTAGTTTTAATCAGTTGAAATGTTTTGCACACAGATATATACCGTGTTATAAAAAATAAACATTGGTAACCATGTCTTTGCAGTGACCGCTGAAGAGGTCATGGCATTTCGATATTTGTGTTTTAGGTGAGTAACTTCATGCAACACTTCCTGCTATTAAAAGGAATGTATTTTTGAGCACAAGTTTGGTGGAATCAATTTTAGCCTTATGGTTGACAAATGCCAATATCTCCGTGATATTTTCTGTCCTGCTGACAGTTGGGAGTGATAAGCCTCCAGCAGACAGATGCCTCCATTTGACACTCCATCGAAATAAAAAATAGGGAACATGTAATATGCACCGTCTGACACGAACAAGGCCGACAGGCAGAAAAATCTGTCATGCGGACTCGTGTCTGAGCACCTCGCTAAACATTGAATCACCAGCAAACTTCCCTTTGCTCACCCCCCTCACAATTACAACTTCTTAGGGAGATAATCGGCTCTCCATCTGCAGCTGAGGTCGCCGTTCATCCATCACCTCCCAGCACAACCTGTATTCGCTGACAAACAGGACAAACAGACTGCGGGCTAATAATCTTTCACTTGAGCGTGCATACGACTTGAGCTGAGGTGAAAGCATTGGCCTTTTACTAAATTACCTCCCCTTTAATCAATGACGCCGCGTCTGAGAGGACTCCACATTCATCATGGAAAGATGGCCGACGGTGCTAAAGGATGACACGACTGAATCACCGGGTCAAGATTTATCCCGTGCTCATCAAAAAAGTGGAAGATTGTTCAAGAGAAAATGAGAAACGATAGCAGCACAATAAGCAATAAAACAAGAAGCTGTGAGCTTTTTTTATTAATAAAACAAGTCGAGTTGAAAGTGACATAAAAGATGAACGTAAACACTTTATTTCAGTGATTGGCTCTAATCATAGTACTAATAAAGTTACTGCATGGTTTAGTTGCCTGTTGCTCTTTATAGACAAACCTAAACACTTATCTGATAGTTGGTRTTGTGTTAAATCTTGTTTACCCCTTCAGATTGATCCCCAGCTTTAGGCAATGAAGATGAAATCCATTGCTTCTTTACTGAATAGTCTGCAGTTCTATGCAGACAGTTTGTCAAATTAAGTGCACAGTTTTCTCACACCTATACAGTAGCTTTTCAAATCCAAGAAGTCAGAGTACAAATCTGAACAAACAAATTTCCATTAGACCCTTTTGTGAAATGCTCTGGTATGAGTCAAACTTTTGTAGCAAGAGTCTGAATGACTCAAGTTGTAATTGGCAATTACATGATCACCCAACAAAAACCTCTATATTCCATTACTTTAACTTTATGAGTGACAAAGTTTGTTAGCCAATAAAACAGAATAAAGTTGTCGGTACGTTTTGTTTTATGTTAGATTTATAAAATTCCTCTGCTTGTTTATTCTTATGAGTTGATTTTATTTCGTTCAGCACTTTATACAACCTTATAATCTATGATTTTTTTTCTCATATTGATCGCTTTTATGAGAGGCCCTGTAGGCCATAATTCAAACTTGCTCTCACATGTACTATCAAACCCTCTCATACACTTTAGTCATTCACACATAGAGATAAGTTTAAAATACTATAAATACTTTTTAAGAAAGTATTTTTTGTATTTACCCATAACCTGCAGGGAACAAGTTGAAAATGAGGCCTTATGACTAAACTTACAGGGTAAATGAAGGTTCATTAACGTGTTTTGTCTTACTTAAGTGAATTAACAATATAAGTTCTGTATAAATAAAGTGAAACAAGATGTTTGCTGTGATCAACAGYTACATAATTATATGTGGATAATGTGTTGTTTTGTTTGCTGAGTTTGGTGCTTTCTGCAGTTAGCTCCACACCTTTTGTTAACTGTGTGTGGCACACTGGCTCGATGATCACATTATCTTGTGCTGGTCTGACAGTGCAAAAGTAAACATTCAAATGTTTCCCTCTGCTCTCAGACTGGARGCTAACTTGTAGTGTTTTCTCTTGTCTTTATTTACTTTCACCTTGTTTTTGGTTTTCTTTCTATTTATTTTCTATTACAAATAAAGTTCAGCTATTAAAATGTTTTTTAAGTATAAAACAAATGCATTTTAGTTACCCAAAAATATTTTTTATTTTGTTGCAAAGATTTCAAATAGAAAATTTATCTTTACAAACCTAAAGATTGAATTAAGCTCAAAAAGTTACTCTAAAYCGAAAGCAGCCAAGGAGAGGATTAAAAGAGAAAAAAACTCCAAGCTGTAATTTTTCAACAGCATTGCCAGGATTAGCAAAGCTTTAAGCTCTGCTGTGAGCAGTAATGAAAACACTCTGGATTCAATCTTAAGCAGGTGTTGCATTAAAAAGTCCCCTCACTTGACTGGAAACTTTTCAGCAATAAATTAATACAGAAAACATGAGGTACAAAGAAGTGAGTGTATTAAAAATAAACAGTACCATCCATCAGTGGTCTTAGTCGTGGTCGAGTTCAGGAGAGARACCCAGACATCCTGCTACCCAGAGAACATTCCAGCTCCTCCTGGAAATCTAGCATTCTCAGACCAGAAAGGACGTATAATCCTTCCAGAGTTCTGGGCCTGCCCCATGGCATCCTCCCAGTGGGACTCCAAAGCGAGGCATCTTAATCAAAGGCCTGAACAAACTGACTCCTTTCAGTGTGAAGGAGCACCAGCTGAGCCCGGTCACTCAACTGAAGATCATTTCATCCACTTGTATCTGGGTTCTCATTCTGWTGGTCTTGATCCAGTCCTCAGGACCATGGGGTTGAAGACCAGCCAGTCAATCGAGAGCTTTGCCGTTTGACTCAATTSTTCACCACAACTGACTGAAGCAACACCCTCAATACTGAGGACAAAACCTCGATCTGTTGATCCACCTCTCACTTATCCCACCATCACTTAGGAAGAGGAATTCCAGAACATTATTCCTTTAACAGGTTTTGTTTTTTATATCCATCCATCCATCCATCCATCCATCCATCCATCCATCCATCCATCCATCCATCCATCCATCCATCCTTTGTGGACAACCCTGACCATCTCTTCATCAGACTGTCATATAAAGACTAAGTGTCTTCAGTCGGAGGCTTCTTCAACTTCGCTGTAATACAGACCACTACAGAAGATGTTTCCTGCCCACAGCCATCAGCAACTACAATGAGTTTTTAGTTAAATGAGTTACAACAACACCTAATTTCCCTSTGGGATCAATAAAGTATTTTTGAATTTGAATTTGAATTGAATCCATCCAGCCATTTTTCCATTCAGGGTTGTTGGGTTGGGAGCTGGTGCCTTTCTCCAACAGTAACGGTCATGACAGGTCATGGGTCAATTWTATTTTATATTCTGAAAGATTACGCTGAACTATTTTATTATGGATTTAGTTYTGAATCCCTTTRGAGCAGAGRTTCTCAAACTGGGGTCCCAGGACCCCCAGGRGTCTGAAAGAGGTATGTTGGGGGTCCTCAAACAATTTCATTAAATTGTTAATTTGGTTTTTATTTTAAAAAATGCATGGGGAACAATGAACTGATAAAACAAACAGAAACTAAATAAAAAATATATTCCCATGGCATTTAGGGGTTGAAAAGATAGTAAATTATCTTTTAAAACAGCATGGGGTTTATGAGGGGGTCCCGGGAACTTTTTTGCCCTTGTAAGGGGCCCTCAGACCCAAAACGTTTAAGAAACCCCTGCTTTAGAGTTTGTTGTTTCAGCATTTTAAAACTAGTCTCGCAGGATTTGTACGGGACATAAAATATGTATTTCTTCTGTTTTTGGTTATTAATTGAAACAGATCGAGAAACTTATAAATGGCTCAGTTAAAGTACTGCAGTTTTGGTCCCACTGGCTTCATCTTTCAGACCCAATAAGCTTTGTTTTTGTTGTTCAGGTAGCTGAGACTTGCCAACTTTTCAAACTATTCTGAGCTGTCTTTACAAAACAGTTCTTTATGAATAAAAATGTTTGGAAGGTTGGAATAAATGGRTAAAGTGTTTCCTTCTAGAGCTAAACCATTTCTGTAACTGGTTGACTTTCTGGGACAGCTCATGGCTCTGTTGAAGGAMTAAGTAAAGTGTCTTTACCTGAGCGTCCATCAGCAGGTGTCTCATCAGAGTCATGGACTTCCTCAAGGTGTCCCTCTCTTCAGGCATAAAGGCTTCATCGTCATCAGCTAGACTGCAGGGTCGGGTCACCATGAACTGAGCGATCTGGTCGTTCAGGCTGTTCAGAGACTGGATGGCTGCAAAAAGAGAGGCGAGTGAGTGGGCATATTAAATTGTACATAAACAAAAAAAAATGGCAGCTGGACTGTTTTTAGCAGCCTCTAATCAGAGTCAACGAGCTTCAGAGAATGCTGTCAAGCTTTAACCGTTTCTCACAAGTGGAATTTTCCGGATCAGTCTTCTGTGATCTGAAACACTTCCTTCATCCACAGCTTCTGTTCTCCGCCTTAGAATAATCCCTCATTTGGACAAGAGGGGTATTATTAGGGCTAAATCCATTACAAYGACAGAAATTCACATGCAGTCCAATTATATAATCCATTCTGTAATGGCCACATTCCCTRAGGAACTGTGGACAAGAGACTGCTTAGAGGTCATAAAACCCTTTACTTGGTGCCTGTGGGTGGTAAGACAGACTTATTTGATCAATACTGACAAAAATGAAATATACACGATTCACAAGAGGGTCARCAGAGTGCTGGAGTGTTTTTATTTCAGGGCAAGAGATCAGGGAGGAAAACATTTAGCCTTACTGCTCAGCGTCTAACTAAAGATAAATAAATTGATTAATTATTTATGAACTCCAGTGGTGAAGTCAAAAAATTGTTCAGAAGCGGCTTCAGTTTCATATCTATTAGATTTTTTTGCAGCTTCCACTTACAATGAAACGGAAAAACATTAACCTGAATCCAACAGCAAATATTAAAGTTTTGTTTAATTACCCAAAAACTTATGCCGCTATTTCACCAATAATCTAATAAAAAACATTTTAAGGATGTATAGCATACTTTTAAATCCTCCTTTTTCATATTTAAATCATTCGTTTGGGGTTAAAGTGGAACTGCAATGTCTGATTTCATCCTTATTGTAACTCTACAAGCCCCTCTTTACCCCTTTTCTGAGGTGTGTCTCAGATCAACTCATTTTGAGGCTGTCTCTTTAAATCCAAAAAATGAAGCACTTCACACCCCGCCCCCTCCAGCTTCCAGACTGATCCATTCCAATTTGATAGAGAGGTTTACAACTATAGAGCAACAAAGAAATGTTTTATTTACAACTTAATTAAAAGATGTCAAGAAGGGAAGATTTGTCCTTCCAGCCAGAGGAGAATGAAGATGACAAAACTGTAGTTTTGCAAAGTTGTTTTTGCATATTTCCCCTTTAAAAGGTCATAAAACTTCATTAAGATTTAATGATACATCAATATCAGCCTTATTCATTGGATCAACACTAGATCTTGCATGCAAGTACTAAATACTTCTTGTTTGGTCCTAATCTTTTTGTCTGCTTTATAAGAAGACATACAATACAATGAAATTAACTGAAACATTGTATAAGCAAGCCATCAAGGTTATGGACAAGAAAACAAGACACTATCATTACTGTGAAATATTTAAAAAGTATCCTTTTCTAAATTGGACTGACCTCGACAAATTTGCTGATTTATGCTTGATTTATAAGGTAACTCGTAATTTATCCCCAGCTCCTCTCTCAGAGTTTATTAGTTACAGAAATAGTGAACGTGTGACTAGAGATCCTGTTAGAGGAGACTGTATTGTCTCTTTGGGGAGAAGCACCTTTGGTCAGTCAGTTTGGTCTGTGAAAGGTGCTTGGAAATAGAACTCGCTACCAGATGAAATTAGACAGCTATCAACCTGTAAGTCTTTCACTAAGCATCTTAAAAAATGGCTTGTTGATTCTCACATCTGCCAGCACTAAAGTTAAACTGTATTTAATGTGTTGTATTGGTTTTTTTCCCTTTGGATTTTTTTATTTTTATGACTAATTTAATTTCCTGCTTTTATTTATTGTGTGTTATTATTGATTTTTATTCTTGTATTATACTGCTTTTTAACATAATGGCCAGGGTACTACAGATGAAAAATAGCCTTTTGGCTAAT